CCTAAGCCGGCATTAGCATCACTCGAACGTACGCGTACTTTACGGGGAAATTCGCGCGCGGATTTGTCGGCGCCACCTCGATTCCGGGCGGATGCGCACCTGTACACGTACATATACCATCTACTCGGCGAAATCCCGTCAGCGATTAGACAATGTACGAGTGATGACAGATGCGAAGGGTGATCGTTAGGGGCTTTCTCGTTGGATTAGTCATCGCGGGGATTTTTATTTTTATCAAAGGGACTTTCCAACGAATGCATAGCGAGCGCAATTCAATTAACAAATTTGAATAAAAATGCTCTTGCCATTCAAGCTCAGGAAGACATTTCTGTTTTATAATTGTGAAGAAAATTTGCACCGAATAGTATATCATTCCACCATTAGGGTTTCTCTCGCTGTTCCTGATCTCGTTAGTCGGGCGCAGCGAACTGAGAATAGCGCCTCGTCGCCCATTCAAATTTCACCCTGTCAAAGGATAAATCCAGCAGCAGCTACTTAGAGCCCCGATATACTCCAACAGACTGATTTTGACGCACTTACCTTGATACCAAATCAATACAGCATCAGTGTGCAGAAATTACGCAGGATCAGTTAATTGACTGCTGCATTAACACCTGAAATAGAAATGTTTTTTTTTTTTTGCATTTTTATTCAGTAAAAATGGATTTGTTTTGAGAAAAATCAAAAATACACTTGTAAGTCTTATCGATTGCAATATGGACGCCCGAAAGTAGTCATGTCCTTCAACTTAACTGAATAAATGGTTGCGCATGTGTAGGGGAACATTCATCGATACGTTCAATCGAATATATTTGCAATGTAATGGATATTAAGAAATTCCGAAGATATTATATACTTATTATAATCATTAAGTTATCGTCGTTACAATGGTACACAATAATTTTTTTTTTCTTACAGATATTCATTCAGCACTAACAGCTCACTTGGCATAAGTTAGTGACTAACGATAAGCATAAAATAAATATAATCGCTCTATAACATCAAAACACGACGTTTGAAGTAAGTTGAGAAAAGCTTAATAAAAACTTTTTGGGCTAGCACGTTGTTTTCGTTAGGAGTTAAGCCTTCGTTTCAGCGCGAAGTACATAGTTTTCTATATATACCCAGAGTATAAAGCTCAGGAAAATTGACAAAGAGGCAGAGAAAGAGAAGAGAGTCAAAAAGAGCTTAGCCTTTTCCCCTGGAAGCGAACGCGGATCAGAAATGCGGCATGAAAACTTCCCCTTAAAACTATACCTACGCGAGGCAAAGTAGCTGCTCCGTTCTTGTCGAATTTAAGTTGGGCAACTCACATCCGTGGCAATTACTCATTCGCTGCTCAAAATACGAGTACTTCGTACGCGAGGCGTGATGATATGGTATAGTGACAATTTTTAGCCGAGGGTAAAAAGTGACGAACATTTGAAGCCGATGCGCTGCGATTTACGTTTGAAAGTTAGGTCCTGCCTGATAATGCGTAATGACCTAATTGGAAAAAATAGATAAAGCATACAAAAGAAATTTTATTTCTACGCAAATATAAAAACCAATTCATTCATTCAAATAACTAGATGACATACCTTTCATTAACGAAGACACGTGTATAATTTAATAAAGTGATCGCAATTAACTCAAATGAAACAATCTAAACAATACACTTAAATCTTTTGACAACTTTAAGATATAAATACTTTTGTCGTTAAAGTAGCTTTGTCACGCAAAAATGTTCAGAATCTATTTTAAATAGTTACAATATTAGCAAGATACAAGTGCTAATCATAAAATTTCACAACATTTTTCTCGTTGATAATAGCGACGATTGAAATTACGTACCTAATTATCAACGCTAAACATAATCGGTCTAAATAATACTTAGGGATATTCTTTCTATTGATCTGAATTCGACCATACCTTGAAAAATTGATTCAAATCTTGTCCTGAATAAAGGTTATAATAGTACATCCGAATAACTAACACAAAGTTAAGTTCAGGACTTACTTATGAAGTATTTTATACAGTGTCAATAATAATTCAAGATAATCTCAGTTTTAAACTAAAATATTTTAAGTAGTATACCGATTTATACACTATATTTACCTACGTCATTCACTGAGTTGAATCTTATATTAATGACAAAGTTTAATACAATCATTTGTGTTATTAGTAATCAATAAAAAAAGCATTTGAAAGCACTGCTATTAAACATAATTTTTCCAAACAAAGGCCGATTTCAATTTCATTATTTTGCAATTACTAACAAAGTTATATTTCAATTAAGCCAATAATAATGAAGAACCGACCATGTAGCTTACTTTTCTCAATGAGAACACCCCCACCGAAATCGATTTACCGTTCCACAGATATACGCGAACATACATAAAAAAAATTTCTTTCTCGAAGTCAAGAAAAAAAAATTAGTAAATATGTCGTATTCACATGAAAGAATATTACAAAAGTGGTTTAAAACTTCCAGCACAGGAATGTCCAAGACTCTGTCCGCCCTTACTATCTTAAAATCGTGTACTTTTTATTATATCAAAAGTTAACACGTAAAACATTACGTATCACATTCTCTATTTCTTATTGACTTGCAAAGCATTCATTCAGTGGTAAATTTTTTATTTTACTCAATTGAACATTTATCAATTACATTTGATTTTTCCACATATTTAAAATTGTTTTCATTGAAAAACTGTTTACATGTGAAAAGTGTAAATAATTAACTTCAGGTTATACTATATTCAAATATTATTTATAATTCAATTTAATTAAAAAAACATCCGATGCTTAAAATTAGTATTGCTGTATAAAATCTAGAAGACCATATTCTCGAATGAACTGGACATGACTTTGAGTCAAATGTTTGCGAGTTATACCTGACCTGACGATATGACAAAACAATATTAGATCAATAGCACTACACAATAACGAAAATCACTGAACATACGTCATTGTTTTTAGCGGCTTCGACTGTGCTAACATATGAACTTACAATCCATCGCAGCTTAATGTTCATCAAAATGATTTTTTCGACATGAAAATCGAGGTGCCTTAAATCCGCCAATGCAGTAGCCGAACTCTTAGCTGTATAGGAAGAAGGAGGGACACTCCTCTCGAACTGATCAATACTTGAAACAGCAGTGCTGGCGCGCTTGTATCAGGTCGCTTAGCTACATATTATTTTCGCACGGAAATGAAACTGTTAAAATCACCGAACAAAAAACCATCCAAGTGACGAGTTAAAAAAAGAACGTAGATTCAAAAATGTGGATTTACGACAGTGTAATCTTCTTGGAACAAGCCAACTGGTTTGTCGACAGACATTGGTCACAAAGAAAACTCTTTGCGAGAAGTTGACTTGCGCAGTAAAACGATTTCGCGATAAAAGGACAAGAATACAAGTCCTACACAAACTGTACACGTGACCTGTTGGCGACGTCAAACTGCACGGCAGTTGCATCGCAGTCACGTGCGAGATAGGCGTGCCCGCACGCGCGGATTACCCGGATTTGTGGAAACGACGAGAAGCAACGCTTCGCGATATAGAAAGGGGTTTGGCCACGAGATCAACAGGTGCGAGAGCTTGCGCGGATAAGCCGCGAAGCTAAGCGCCGGCGCAAGCTCTCGACTTTAGCCGCGCGCGAGAATGTATCACACCCCTCCGGGGGTGTGACCCAACGGCAACGATTGGACGAATCTCGCGATGTATATAACACGCGTATAGCTACGTTGCACATGCGTTTAGATCGCAAGACTCCCGATTGCCTGTCAGTAAAGCACGCGGCAATTAGATATTGCTCGTAATTGGTTTCGATAAACCGCCATTTTTCCGTGCGAAAGGCGTCTTACAATTACATCTTCGCAGTCCAATCTATCAATATTACAGAAAGCTAAATGTACAAGCATAAAAGATAGTTGCGAAATATGGCATTCAACCGCGAGTGTTGCGGGCGAACGTTCCATCATGAGAAACGAGCGAACGTCAGGGGGAAAATTTAAAGGGTCATCTCGGTCTTGAAGAGCCCCACTCCAGATTAATGCCACGAAAGCATTGGGAAGCCGATATTGCGACGTCGTCGTCGTTGTCGTCGTCGTTTCGACGACGTAAGCTCCTCTTCGAACTGACCCACGAGGATATTTTGCCTCCTCCTCCAATGTCCACTCTTCTACTGCGCTGCATGCGGTTAAGCGAACCGAGACGGTCATGCGCTCGATCTTTTTTTCTCTCTTTCTTGCTTTCTTTGCTTTTGTCTTTCTACTTACCGAGGGTGGATTGAAAGATACTCGGTCGCAGGCGAACGTCAGCCTAACGTATTAGGAATTGAAGATCAAGGAGGATTATCAATGTTTGTGCCTTCGATGATTAAACACGAAAATATCACACAAACAGTTTTAATAATGCGACTAAGGTCTGATCGTCAATTTCGTTTTTGTATTTCGCACGTTCAAAAACAATATCGTTTAATTGAACCAGCTACATCTACAGTTACATGACAGTAAACACCGCAAATAATATGCAATATTCATCTGCTTACATACATTTACCGCTCAAGCCTGCGAACTCTAAAATTATCTATTTTACTCACAGCAGTTGTTTGATCAATCTAGCTGAAAAACCATTTATGCAAGATAAACTTGAATAGCAAACTGAAAAATGTCATTACAGTTTCTCTTCCAAATACCAGTCGATTGACAGTAAAAGAAAGAAGAAGAAAAGAATTCCTGATGCTTATCGTTTCGGCCACGTGAAAAGCCGGTCTACATGCCGCGTCGCAGGTTGAACGAACCGGCGAAATGAAAAAGTAAGAGTAACAGTCGAAGAGCCGGCGAGGCATCACCCACTCTCCGTCAAATTATTATCTGGCCGAGAGAGGAAAGAGATAACGTCTAGCGCAAACTCAAGTTATCTTTGATAACCGGCAGAACTCAGCGCTTCTCCCTCGTGCAGGTGTGCTTCTCGCACCGCTTGTCCGCGTTGTTTACGAGCGCGATGTGCAGCACCGAGACGATCATGTTCACCTGAGTTTCCAATTCTTTCTCGCGCGAGAATGGAGTGTTTCGAGAGATGGTGGTTATTGAGTTCGATGATGATTTGGGGGACGTGCTTATGGAGAATACAAGCATGCCCGATTAAATGTCAGTGTGACTTGATTCATGTGCCTCGGACGATCAGTTGCTCGGCCCGAGGCTTACTAACTTTTCCCGAGAACATCAGCGACATCGTAAGTCTCCAGTTGGTAATTTCGCGATTTAATGCATGATTCTTCCCACGTTGTTGCTTGGAACTTGAATTCAAATTTGAATGAAAAGCGCTTGCAGATGGTCGGTTATCGATATACAAAAATGTATTATGTATAAAGACGACTACTTGATCAATCATCCGAGTTTACCTCGTGATCGATACGCGATTCGGAATTCTCACGTTGACTACGATACAATTAAAATTTTCGATAAATAATATTGGCAGTGGTAGATATATAGAGTGAGAAGCATGAGTAATGCAATTTCTACGTGATTCACGAGGCTTATCTCAACCTTACATCTGACTACAGATAGAAGCTCTCGTCGCCACAATGTTTTCGAGCTGTTCTACACGAATGTAGTAACACCGAGATATTAATTGAAGCGCTGTTGCAAATCCGACAATGTTATTTATTGTTAATTATATTTTGTATTTATTCTTATTGTTGACATCAATGAAAGAAATTAATCAATTAAAGCATCTTTTATCGAATCCAATTCACTTATACAAATAAAAGCCGTCAGACTGAATTCAAATCAGAGTTAGAAAATTCATTCGCTAATAATTCCCACAGGTGGAGTACCTGGATTTATCAGACAACCAACTAACCAAGTTGCCAGTAGAGTTGAATCGTTTGACCGAACTGCAACATTTAAATTTGACAAGTAACAAATTGACTTCCCTGCCAGCGAATCTCCGTGGTCTTGGAAATTTACGCAAGCTTGATCTCACTGGCAACAATATTGAGTTTGTTTCCGATCTTAGCGCCATTCAACAACTTCCTCATTTGAAGAAACTCTACCTTCATAGAAATCCGCTAACCGAGTTGGACGGCTTGAGAAATGCGGCATTGCAATATCTATACGCAGAATTTTGTGGTTAGTATTGAAAATTATTTATTAATTTTATCAAGAAAGTTTGCGAATAAAAAGAGCGAATTACCTTAAGTTCGTTGTTTTCACTTAAGCAGAATCACTAAGTGTTTGTTTTTCAGCGAAAAATTTCTTGTATGAACGAAATTTTGATAAAATTGCGAAAGTATTTTATTTTAAATGTAACTACCTTCAATCCTATACTCGACTCAAAATGATCACAATGCATTCGAGCTTTTTTAGATGTCGCAAAAATTTTAGCTACAAAAGACATTTCAGAATAAATTTGACATCTTTACAGAAATTACAGTGCTGAAAAATACATCGCTATTAGGGCTACCAGAGCTGACGTATCTGAGTTTGTCGGGTAACCCGTTGAAAGACGTCAAAGATCCTTACAGTCTGAAACTAAAAGGACTTGATTTATCGAAATGCCGATTGAAAGTCTTAAGCCAGAAAGCGTTTCAGGGTTTCCCGGAACTTATTGATCTGCGCCTCGCCGACAATCCCACCTTGGTCTACAGTACCAGGTATGTATAGCTCAGAGATGCTATCCCTAAATGAATTCTACACTGACTTGGCGGTACTATGAAGCTGAATTTTACAGATATGGATTTGTTGAAAATTCAAATCTTTAGAAATATAGTAACCAATTTATGTTTCTAAGACATGTTGATATTCTGCGTTCCAATTCACAAAGAGATAAACCATAAGATTTCTTTCAGATTCGAAACCCTTCGCCATCCAAAACTACAAAAACTCGATGTCTCACGTTGCGATCTCGACCGTCCTGGTCTTCATGGCTTGCCATCATTAACCTACGCGCGTTTATCGAGCAATTCGATTCGCATACTTCCTGATCGAATATTCCTAAAAAATCATGAATTGACGAATCTTTACCTCGACTATAACCATCTGGATCGTTTGAACAAAAGCTCGTTTGCCGGACTGTCGCGACTGCAGGTCCTCGACTTATCGGCAAACGGTCTCAAGGCTATACCTACTATTGCCTTTCGAGATAATGCAGAAATGCGATTTTTAAACTTGTCGGACAATTACTTAATGGACTTTCCGAAATTGTCGTCTTCGGTTGTTAGTCTAGATCTCTCGGCGAATTTGATCGGCAAGGTCGATGCCAATTGTTTGACGGGTATGCCGAGATTGTATTATTTGAATCTGAGTAAGAATTTGATCGAGATGATGCCCGACGGGTTGGATTCCGGTACCCTGAGAAATTTAGTACTGAGGTACAACAGAATTTCTACTTTGGAGAATGTCAGCATGAGTCTACTTCCAGAACTAGAGAAGCTTGATCTGTCAGGTAATTTTTCATAATATTTACGCGAGAGCGAAAAGACAATGACATTTTTTCATAAATGCAGGCAACAAACTTTTCAAAGGCGTCAATCCGGAAATCTTCTTCGACAATCCCAATCTGAAGCAACTTTATGTATCCGATAATCCATGGGTATGCGACTGCCTGCAGCTATTTCCAAGCTACGTGTTTCTAACGAGCTTACAATCTAGGATAGAAGCGTTGATATGCCACAGTCCCAGCGAGGTAAATGGATACTCGTGGAAACACGCTTGCTCGGGCGAGTGGAACAACGAGGTTGGGCACAAAGGTGGCAAAAAAACTTGGGGACTCGTGCTGGTCAGCCTATTGACTATGATCGTGTTGTCGGGTACAATTGTGTCGATTAGGCACTCGTTGATGATGAAGAGACAGGCGAGAAATCAAAGACTGGAGGCCGAAAGGACCGAGGTTAGAGAGAGATTAAGACTTTTACACAGGAGGTAATTATTTTTTCCTATCGCCCCACTTTGGAAGCAAATCAAGAACTGTAATTCACTATCTTCGCAGGAGTAGGCAGCTTCAAGATGAGTTTCGTGAACACGCGTCAGAGCCCCGAATTCATCCTCTAGAACTGATCAGTCCTCCAAGCTACGAGGAAGCTGTGACGATGCACCGGCTGGCGCGTTCTCTTGACCAATTGGATTCCGTCACGGAATCACATTCGACAGCTGCTCGAATAACAGCCTCGTCCGAGAGTTTGCGAAGTGGCAAAAAGCGACGAACGAGGCGAGTACGTCGATTGCGTTCGCAAAGCGAGGACAACTTATCGAGGAGAGAAACGCGGAGAGAAGAGCGATTGAGGCGAGCAAGAGAAATATCTGCTACTGTTCCCGAGGAAAATAACGAAGAGAACAACCAAGAGAATCGCAGATCAAGGCCGCCTACGCCGATGGCCACTAGGAAAAAGATCAAGAGATTATCGCAAGCGAAACCTGGAACATCTACGGATGACGAAGACTCGGATGCTGGCAGGAGTGAAGCACCTCCGAGTACCAGGAGAAGCGGAAAAATTATCATTAGGAATCTTGATAGAGAACCCAGGAGTGGTTATAGGCCGTCTACCGATGGCGAAAGTTGAGATTTTATGTTTAGTTTGACTTAAGGACTAATTGTAGTTGTAAATACTGCGTGATCAAATGTGCTTTGGAAAAGCTATGCGAAATCTACTTGGTTCAATCGAAATATTTTCTACGTTTTTTATTAAATGTGTTTTTGTATGATGTAATTTATTAAGTGATTCATGTCTACCTGCCTAAATATATATCTTTGCAACGCACGAATAAAAGTTATGTTTTTATTAAACGATTTCTAAACTTTCACTAACATGTACGTATATTACATTTTATGCGTTTAAAACTTAGAGATTTACAAGTAACGAATATTTCATTGGTAATACTTTTCAAGTAGACGACTTCTGAGATATATATTTTTATACCTTATTTATGATGATTTACCTTGGGTTATATTCTTCAACTGATAATAAATAAACATGTGTAATTAATTTTGGTAAAATTACTTCTCACTCAACTATTATTTTTTCAGTAAATAAATGTATCTGTAAGTCATCGTTACTTTCAGGATAATATCATGAAGATATAAAGTACACTTTATTTTATCGCAATGAATATAGAAATATTCTACGTGACATTATCAACTAAATTCTCAAAAAATTTTCCATATGAAGTCAGATGTTTTGCTATTTTTATTATAATATTCAAGATGTCGTTATATAATATTCGTTAAAAAAAGTATTTGTAATCATTTTTACTTATAGTATATATGTGTGTATATAAATATATATATATATATACTTTTTTTATAATCAAAGAGTAACATACAATATTATCATCATTCTAATTCAAAACATATACAATCGTACATATACTTAGGACGTCGACATAATAGCCCATTAGTAAAGATGTTTCACTTTTTTTAAAAGCTGCAATAAAAGAATACAAGCTATTTTCAAGCCAATACAACATACGTTGGTCCGATAAGGTCGACAAACTCAATTTAGGCTACATACAAGAGATAACAAGTGATAGTAAATCTAAAAGTTTACTCATTGACGCACCGGTTCTCGGAAACTTTATAAACCTTTCATTCTATGTGTCACTAACGCAAAAATCTGTATTCTACATATAAATCAACAATGTTTTATTACACTAAATATTATTCATGGTAGGTTATATTTTTGAATACTTAATCGTTCACAAGAACAAAGAATAAAGTTTTGACGTTTTTTTAAAACATTTATTTAATAAAAATAATTTCATGTCGTAAAAAATATGACATTATTTTATTTAATAAAATAACTTGTTTCTACATAATTTTCATTACATTTGACGAATCACACCCTTCACTATTAAAATATTGCGTACAATTTTATAAAATAATAAGCTAATATTTTGAGTAATGGGCACTATAAAAGAAAACTATTAGTCTATTTAATTCTAATAACGTACTAACCTTTGATCGATATATTTTTCAGCAAATATAACTACTACTACTATCAATAGATAAGTAATAAAAACATCTAATCTGAAATTTTACGTTTCATCTTTTGAAAATAAATAAAGAAATAACTTTTGATTCATTGAACTGCTATAAAAATTATTTTTGAAATTGTATACGCTTTACACACCATGAAAAAATACAAAATACATTATAAAAATTGTTTTCAACTTCTGTGTAATTTCAACAAAAATACTATGATCATAGCGTGGTTTTCGGCTGCCGATCGGTAAATCGAAATGGGAGAAGTGTAAAGCATACCTATATAAACTTTAAGGATAAAGCTGGTTGTACAGTTAAAAATTTAACACTATCATGTTAAGAAACTTATATAGACATGCTCTATACGCTCCCCGTTTCGATTACACCATGATCATGGCATGTGTCAACATAGACTTATAATTACACATACATACATATGCGTATGCCTAAAATTAATTGCAGTCGAAAAAAGACAATTTCATGCAGTAAAAAATATGTTTTTATTACAAAATATCTACATTTAATGATCGCATATTGTATCAAAATTAGAATCACCTATAGTATATTATCCGGAATGAATGTATTTACTGGGAAGAAAAATAATAAAAATTAAAAACATGTCATAAAATATTTATCTTAACAATTAAGCGTGATGTTTTTTTAAATCCAATTGATTAATATTAATGATAAAGTTCTATCAACAAAGAGGCAGGAAAAAGTAACATTACAATTGCACTCTTTCTTTTTCACTCGCAAAAAATATCTTATAACATTTTATTTTTTTGAACAACAGTCATTGGTTCATTACAAGTATCGTACAAAGAGTGACTAGCGTCCGCTCATCTTTGATAACAAAATGTCGTTCGTATTTTACTTCTCGAAAGGAATCCATATCTATAAGAAGGCACAACATATTGCACTCTTTCGCTTAACACTTTGATCGCTTTGATAAAAGGCAGTCAAGTCATAGCTTACGTTAGTTAACTATCACCGTCTCTATCGTGTAAAATCGTATTTATCAGTCCCCACATATAAGCTGCACTTAATGAGTTCTTTCATCACAAAATCAAAACAAACTCAAGTTTTAAGTTTGTCTCAACTTCACGGCGTCTTGACTAGGTTGTCGCCATTCTTAAGCCGCGTTATTAATATAGGCGTCTTCGGCACGCTTTCGGGTAGCTCTCCCATGGTAATTTTGACTCTTTGAGCACCTGGACTCAATGGTGGTACCTCGCCATTGTAGTCACCATTAGCTAAAGCATCATCCGATCCACTATTTACTGTCGTCGGGCCATCAATGTCATCCATCGGAGGATTCAAACCATTGAGTGGTGCTTCTATTTCTTGGCCATACCCTTTTCTAGGTGGCTTTACAGGGTCAATAACATCTGTCGTCCATCCACCAGATTTATTGGCACCATTAGTAGTCGCTGGAGCAGGAGAGATATCGTAGCTTCTCTGATTCTCTTTAGGCTCTTCTGGCGTTGATGTACTATTCATCAGTGGAACATTTTCCATAGTGTTACCATTAGATACTTGGACTTTAGGCTGGACTGCATTTTGTTCCAAAAGGGATTTTTGCATATCTTTCATTTCAGTTCCCCTCTCGACATCTCCACGTTTTCGTTTCTTCTTACAGAAGTCACCTTTGTATGCTGCAAAAGCAATCAGAATAGCAAGAATTGCCAAAAGAGTAGCCAACACGTAATAAGATCCAGTTCCTTTTTGAGGTTCTTGTGAAGGGGCTGAATCAGCAGCACCAACTACTGCGTCTCCTGCTGGTGGATTGTCTCCTGTGGGTGGTTCAACTGAATTTCTCAAACTTTCGTCTTGTACTGCAATCTTTGGAACTATGGGACTTTCCTCAGCATCTTTTGCTAGTTCTGTAGCAGATGGAATAAATTGCTCCTCTTCTACCTGTTGTTCTGGATTCTTTTCCGTTGTAAGTGGAGCCGAAGTAGTTATTGAATCACTAGATGATCCAAAAGGATTTAGAACATCCCATACTCCCCACCAGCCGGCGTCTGTTGTAGTTGGCGTAATTGAGGTAATTGGGACAACAGAACTACTATCATCTGCATTTTCTAAGGTATCATTAAAATTGATTTCGTCGACGTTAACGGGAGAAATTATTTTAGGTATAACATCTAGTCCAGAACCTTCATCGTCGGGTTCGCCAGAACCTTCGTCATCGGTTTCTCCAGAACCTTCGGTTATATATTGTGTAAATAAATCTGGCGTGCTACTCTCTTTTTTCTCTACTACAGCAGCATCGAGATCGACTTCCTCATCTTTTTCAGAAGATGTCTCAATGGTAGAACTAGAAATTTCTACAGGCGTGGCCTCTGCTAAAGTAGTCAGAATAGTTACAGTAGATGAACTTTCAGACAATGTAGATGGGGATGATGTTTCAGCTTCAATAAATGAACCCTGAGATGATGTAGGCAGAGACGACATTTCTGTGTCAGAAGAGTAACCGTTAGACGACGTAGATGAAAATAATGTTAATCCGTCAGTAGATAAGCCTGCAGACGATGTAGATGATGACAACATTTCTATTTGAGTAGATGGATCCTCAGACTGCGAAAGTGGAGATGGTGTTTCTTCTTCGGTTATCTCTGCAGGCTGTTCAAGCTCTTTTTCCTCACCTGCGAGATCATCGTCTGCAATTTGACCAAATTCTTCATCGCCAGTGGCGTCGATTCTATCCTCTGATGGTTGATCTCCTTGCATCTCCAAATCTTGGGTTTCAAACACACAAGTCATCTTTGTATCAGGCTTCAACAGTGATAAACCTTTGGAAGAAACTGGTTCCAAGCATCGAGTTTTCTTTGAAATTTTCACACCACGAGCCAGAAGAGAATCTCTAAGTTTCATACTTACGCAGTTACAATTCAAAGGATTATCGGATACATCCAAATATTTCAACTCTTTTAAACCCATCAAGGCCGAGGGTAATCGTTTAATCTTATTGCCTGACAAATGCAAATTACGCAGATGTTTCATTCCATTGAAAGCTCCGGCTTCTAGATGGGTAATGTGATTATTTTCCAGGTGCAAAGTCATCAATGAACGTAAGTTTGCAAAGCTTCCAGTCTTGATGGTTTCGATATTGCCATTCGAGAGGTCAAGGTATCGCAAACTCGTCAGATTTATAAAGTTGCCTGGTGCCAGTGTCTCTCCTGATGATGACGCTCGAAGAGTATGTAGCTGATAGGTATCAATATACCTCGCATCTTCAAGGTCAGCACATTCTACTGACGCCTGCCTTTTCAATAAGCAATCGCCGTGTACCGAGTCCGAGCCACAAAGGAAAAGTAGAAGTAATAGGCGGCTCATGTCGTACGACTTCATCTTGGCTCTGATGATTCTGCAAAATGAAATGAATTGAGATTAATTTTATGTGTTTCAAAAAACAAGCGTCTGATATCTTATCGGCTAGAAATAATTATTCGTGAAAGTTTATTAATAAATATATAAACATGATTATACATTTTTCTTTTAATAAAAAAGAAAACTATTGATTCACTTTCAACAACCATAAAATTCATAAATACATTTTGTTTTCTATTATTTCGTGTAAATCATAATAAGCAGTCAAATTTAAACGCCTCATCATTAATTTTAAATTGAACTTGAAGATGACATTTTACAACTAACTGCGAAAGCACTTGTGTAATACTCTATTTATTCCTTTATAAAGTGCATGAAAGCTGAAAAACAAAAGAGGAAAGTAGAATCGATTCACCATACATCCACTCCAAAAGCCGCTTATACATATTCTTCAGCTAATCAGAGAGCCTCCGAATTGCATAATTCATTAAATAAAACGGAGTAGTGTCCAATTGCGACCTCTTATTAAAAAGTAAAATTGACACACTTGAAAATTTTTTACTTTGTCGAAATAAAAAGCTTAGTTATATTTGTGAGTATATACTAAAAAAAAAACAAAGAAGCGAAAAAACGGAGGTTAATGCCATCGCACGTCACACGCGACGCACCGTTAAATTGTACGATATATATACGTGTGTGTAGAATGTACATATGGTAAAAGTACCTCTAGGTTCTCGTGATAATTACTCTCGTGTGTTTTGCATTAATTGCACAATATGGAAACAAATGTATATAGGTATCACTACGACGATGCGTGTAAGATGGAACGGTACTTATATAAGTTTCACTTAAAGCAGAGAAATGAAAAGAAAAGCGTCGAGTCTATACAGTAAGCTAATCGTTCATTCACTTTTTTCAATCATGATATTGAGTTATATATCGTTATGTGTCTGAATAATTTTGAATGTCTAATTCGATTTGTCAAGAGTTGTTTCTCGTCAAAATTATTATTCCTCCAAGGCGAAGCCTCAATTCTTTGCTATCTCAAAGTAAATTCCAATTCCAACTAAAGTCAAAGAGATTTCTTATGTTTGATCATTCGTGAAGCTTTTAAGTCCAAGTTACTTTTCACGAAAAAGACGCGCGTCGATTTTGATTACGCATACAATAGACGCATGAGAACAGTTATATCTTCAAATACGTAAACACTGAAATAGCATTTTGCTTGAGCACTATCACGCATACTCGCAGCATTGATTTGAAAATAAAAGTGAAAAATAAATCGCTGCACACGATGAGAAAAATAAATCACACGCGCCGTACTGGTACAGACCAAACGGCGGACGAGCCGCGCGCCACTCTAACGGCGTCGACTATGGGACTACCTAATAACGAACGCCGGTAATATAACTTATTTCGTTTATATGCTATCAGGTCAAATATTTGTGATACCGATAAGCGCACGTGTGATACGCCAGCGCGCTTGCGAGCGCCCCGACGGTGATGATTCGTATCTCGGCCTTGAGCAAATACACATCGACGTTAAGTATATTGCACGACGACTACAAACTTGCAACTGGACTCTTGAATGCGAAGAACGCTGCTGATGATGGAAATAGACGTGAATGGAGTGAGAGCGAGTGCGATGACATTGTAATGGGGAGGCGGGAGGGTGTATGGAATGTGCCGGCGGGAGAGAGAGGGGGGGTTATATGTTTATCGACAACAGCGATTGATAATTTTACTATTACGTTCTTTATTTATTTATAGGATGTCAAGAGAAATCACATTTTTATGGCTTGTTGAAAAACAAAAAATGCATCTCCAAACGATGCTGAGTGCGTGTGCGCGTGTGTGTAGCTCATTAACAAGTTAATTGTACGTGCCGTTCTAAGTAAAAGCATACCTCTTGGGCTATGAATTCGGTGTTAATTTCACATTATTTCTTTCGCAAAATGATTTTTTTCCGTCGGACACACAGGGGAACACTGTGTTTGACGAATTGTTGCCGAAGACCACTTGCGCATGAAAACGCTCGGGGAAAGAGATTCCAACGAACTGATAAACATTGAATGAATGGCACGCATACGAGAAAGATTCTATACTTAGCGCTCGTTAAAAGATTCTCGTCTGTACCAGTCTGTGCAGTTTTGGAAACGCCACCGCAGCTGCAGCCTGTCCGTTCGATGTGACCAAGTCGAATTTCATCTGCATAATGTACGAAGTCTATAACGGTCGAAAAAAAGAAAGAAAAAAAAGCAACGACTGACGCGTGGTCGATCAGTCGAGTAGTCGAGTGCGTCAGCAAACGCAACTCATAATGACGAAATCTTACGTTCTGATAATAATATCCACGAACACGTACACTTACAACTTTTAATTGCTCTTGTTAAAATTGATAATCGAGTCTTATTGTAACAACCATGTAATAAAATAACAAATAATAAAAAAAAATAGCAAATGTATAAAATAACAGTACGCTTAAAATTAATTTTTACGAATCATTTTGCGGAAATCACAGAACGTTGCAAGTCACGAAACAAAAACTTGAAATTTCTTGGTATTATATACATTTTCACCTACCAGTGACGCACTCTAACATTTCGTCATTCGGTTAAAGCAGGTTGAAGTCCGTAACGAATTCATAAAGTCTAAACAAGGAAAAAGGCAGATTAATATCTGTCACCTATAAAAACAAAACGATATAGCCTTCTATATATTAATTTGCCTAACACATGCGCGATGATAAATCATTTGAAAAAAATGATATGTATATTTTGACATGTCGATACGTATACAGCGGTGAGTGGAACTATTAATCGGGCGGAAATCGGTGTAGAAGTCCATTGACGCGAAAAATGGAGGAAAAAGGGCGTTGATACAAATTGGATCGTGAAATGCAGTTATACACGCCTGTAGGTTATTTATGTTAGGTTAACCTGTTTCTCACGCGGATCCTACGGACTTCCATCTGGTCAGATGCGCTAACTAAAACAAATCTCTCGGGCGTAATTCGCAAAATGCTACTCACCTCGCGCTTATGTATTACGTGATATTTGCTCCTGGTATTGTTGCTCGGCCGTCAGCAGTTGTAACGCTGTCCACGTACCATCTGCAACACATCAAAAAGGTACATAATTATATGTCACGTGCGCTGCCTTGCTTATTTAGAAAACAGACGCTTCACTTTTATTGTGGCTGCTAACCCACATTTTCCTCGCGTCGCGCCGTGGATGCGCTTGTCGATAAATTTCGCGTGCTCGAGCTGTCGCGGCGCGTACAGCAGAAGCGAACGCAACGCGGCTGTTGGACAGCCGAACCCGAGGCGATTCAGCGCCGGCTCGCGCTTCGCTTTCTTACGTGCGCGCGGATCCCACGTCGCCGCTTGGAGTGACTGGCCAATGCAATTTTTCGTTGAGCGGCTAGTTGCGCGGCAATCCGCGATCGCGCGACGCGAAAACAACGTTGAGATAATTAGCGCCCGCAGCGTTGAGGCTCTCGTCTGTCCCGCGCCTGATTTCCCTAAAGCCACATGCAGTTTTACATTTAATCAAAATGTGGATGCGCGCGTATGTTGCCTTGTCACGCGAAATACGCCGTTTTTCGCGGCCAAACGGTGATGCAACGCAGCTACTATAATGTTGCTTGTCGTCGACGTCGCTCAAGGTAACAACAATGAGCCAAAAAAAGTAGTTAACACGAGGAAAGGGAAAGCAAATAAACTATTGCGTTATATTCGACGGTTCTTTTGTTCGTTGGAGTTTTTGTACGTACTGAACGTAAGTGGACTTTTTGTGCTTTCTTTTTTTCTTAAGTAATTTAAATAATAAACAATGCATAGAGCACTACTATTTAATGCGAAAAGTGCATTTTAGTCATTCATTGTGCACGTAAAACAAAGCTTTTTTGATTTTTATAATGTCCAATCTGTTCATGGGTGAAAAGTTTGCTGCCGGGCACTATCAACTGAAATTCGTAGAGGCACGTCGTAGATCCTGTTTTTCGATTGAGAGGAGAGAATTAGAGAATTGGCTTGGTCATTTAAATGAGTATAGATATATTGGCTGATGACACGAGAAATGCAAGAAATTTAATTGAATATAATTTCTATTACTGTTGTTAAAGTAGAGCAGTCTGAACGTCATTCAATAGTTACAACATGTTAAAAAACGAAAATTTACCATTTGACAAATAGTAATCAGCATCTTGAAATAACGCGATCCAACAAATTTATCCGAAGAACAAATACATTACGAGGATTAAAGTTCAATAAAAGACCTCTAACTGTATTAACAAAACTAAAAGAAAAACTCGACTTTTGCCCAGAATACATAATTACTCCAACATTTCGCAACATCATCAGGTTACGATCACCATAATTAATGATCAACAGTAACAACGAAAACAAACCGTCGACACACTCCGTCTCCAAGCACCTCCAGAAATGCGCAAATTAGTAATTGAAATGAAGCATCGAACGTAGTCCTCGAAATTGTCGCTATAAAGTTTTTCTTTGGTCTTACTTCTTTTTCCTCGACTCGCTTAAGCGTCAACTTGATGTGTCTCGAAGGTCATCGTTCGAGGCGCCAGTGATCTTCGAACAGTGCAGATTTCGTTTTATTTGTCTTTAAGGAGAGGCCGCAGCCTTGATTAAGCCGATTACGACGTAACGGCTTTCATATTTAAAGGATTATTCGCGAAAAAAAATCTTTGATACCAAACTTCTCTCATCGACTAAAATACGTAATGTCAATAAAAGTAATTGCAACTACGCTTTAATACGTCGGTGCTTAACTGTTATTTTAAAGATGCTACTATCAATGTTATTGAGTAAGTTAGTAGATGCTTTATATATCGAGAAATTCAAAGAGGGATTAAAGATTAACTTTGATATCGTAAAAGATAAGATTAAGTGCGTGAATTCTTCTGTTTGAAATTTTACAAAGTGTTAGATTAATTGAAAATTCTTTCAAAGAAAAGCCAAAGACAGTCTTAAAAAAATTAAATTGGTCAGAAATTCCAGCGTCGTCCACCTGACTATGGTTGATTACCATGAGGAACGATAAATTGATTCTCTAAAGAATCGACATTCATTTTTGTAATATTCTATGCCAGTAGTCTTCTACGGATAAATGCTGAAAAGTAACAATCGACACTAAAAAAATTCATAACTTTCCACACCTTACGCAGCGATATCTAAATAGAAATAAATACACACGAGACATTGACAAAAGGAAGAGATCCGTCAAACGTGATTTCTAACGGTACGCACTTTGCCAGCGCGCCACGTGGGTTGTAAAAGCTATGAATGGGCGTCGGGCTCTCAGGTAAAACAACGATTGGATACGTACACCCGTACTGGTTTTAGTTAGGTGTTGAGAGTAGCATGTCTGACAAGTTGCCAAGCTCTCGTGCAGAGATTTATCGATCGAAAGTTTACGTTTTAAATTGCAGGTCGCCTGCAAGTGTGACGCTAATCATGCAATTAAAGTGCCGTAAAATCTTTGATTTAATCCGCTATTATATCGAAAAAAATTTTCTTTTTTCTCGCCTCTTACCCTACGCAATTTATGTTTTTTAATGGATGTCATTAGCGGCGCGCAAACTAGGTTTCCTCAATAAATATTAAAACGCGAATGAGTTACGTGCCTGTTAATCTTGTTCATTCATCTTCCTGTATATGCACATTATGAAAAACAAATTATTCATATTATTAGCGCGTAACGGTAAGCATCGGCAAATAATTTTGCTTCCGATTTTTTTAGTCACCACGCGGGTATTGAGTGATGTCGATGTTAATTCTCGAAGCGGAACAAATGAAGAACAACACGTGTAATCAGTCCGCAGAAGCTAAAACGAACGCTTTTTTTTTCGTCCGATCGTTCACTCTCTTCTCCTTCTCTTTCTCTCTCGCTCGCTCCCGATTTCATTTTCCGCTCTCACGAGGCGCGCGCTTACATAAAGATGCGGACAATACAAAAAAAACGACCGAATTTTCGGTTTTACCTTGTTGTTTTGTCGGTCGATCGCAGCATTTTAATTTCGGAACTCGCGCGCGTAATTAGTCTACTTTTATTTTCTTTTACTTACTGCGAGATCGTCGATAATCGGGAGACGATTCGTCGAACTTGACCGCCTTCTTTTTATCGAGGATTGAATGGTTTTCGGGGTGATTCGTTTTAACGGGAACGATATATCTGCTTTTATTAAAATATACGAGATACTAAATTCAATCGCACGTCGGATGTTAATTACTTTACAGACAATTTTTATGGCAATGTAACTGATCGAAATGAGAGAAGAGCGTTAATCTTTTCACGTTCGGAGCTGAAATTCGAAGAGTAAAACGTTCTTCACGCACGAAAAAAGACCAAAAGAATATTCAGTCCCATGTAAATTCGTGAATAAAAGCCCCGCGAAAATTCCTCCAAGAATTAATATATTCTCCGAAAAATTATCCCATACGACGTCGATCGAAAAAGGTCAACTAAATGATTAATGTATGCATTTCAACTGAATTTCATTTCCACGCGGCAACACATGGAATACATAATCCATCCTCTCTAGCGCGAGTATTATATCTCTGGTTGTATATAATGAGAAATGAAATGTCTCTTTTAGCACGAACACCTCAAAGGTTCACTCACGCAAGTTGAATCGACGCAAATTTACTGAAAGAGTCCCTCTGATTAACGAAAACGTCAACTGTTGTCTCGAATAAACCCAATTCATGTTTCTCTCTCGCACCTTATATACTTCTTATCTGTGGCGGCGATAAAACGCCCAGGGAGGTTTATAGATTCCAGTCTCGCTCTCTCCCGGGGCACCGGATGTGGACTAGACCCGTTTCGCCGCCAGACGATTATTTTCACCTACGAAATGTCGTCGTCGGAGAGAGGCCAAGGACTCTTTAATGTGTCGTTGAGCTGCTTCCCACGTTATTTTGTTTTAACTCACCTCGCTGAGTCGCGCGCAGCCTAGTTTTACTTTATGCCACGGCTAATTTGTTTCACTTTTGTTCGGGCTGATGATATTTACATTACACGCTTGCGTGCCTTGAATATCTTCCTCGATGCTTTTTCAAGAACGCAGTGTCACTTTATAGTTTCAGCGATAAACATCTCGTTGCACGCAGACGTGAAACGATGAAAAGAAATACAAAATTTACCTCTTTCCCGCTCTGGCTCCGAAACAGGCTGTAACAGAACCAAACCGGTAATTCACGAAAACAAAAAAGGGGGAAAAAAGAGAGAGAAAATAGTGATTCACGAAAAAGAAAAATGTTATTTTTTAACGTTCGCGGCAAGCAGTCTAATCTTCAACAAATTTCAAAAACTTGGATTACAGAACTGAATCCAGCGCTGTGGCGAGAGTGAAAAATATCATTTTCCAATATTCCCCGCGTCGCACGCGTGTAGCGGAGACATAAGTCAACGACTCATCCTATGCTATAAACTCCCATCGGACTTCTTCCTGCTCGTTACGCTCCGTTCCGCTTGCACGCGAATAGAAAAAAAAGATGGAGAGCGTGTATATCGCACGATATCGTTGAATTCTCTGTGTCGCCTACGTGTGCGTATCGAACGATATGCATGCGACGTTTTGCGTAGGCATGTCGATCTTCAGGTTTCAGTTGCAGCAGCAGCCGTACTTCGACGGATCAACGGTTCTCGGCACTTCGACGAACTCGTTCCTCCTCTTTTTTCGATATATATTTTTTTGTTGCATGACGTATCGGTTGTCTAATTACTAAAGAGTTTCTTCGCCCTATTGTGATGAATTTTACTTAATGCAGACCCAGCGATCTTTTGGGGTCCCCAGAGAGATAAAGAAGCTTAGAGATCGCGAGTTTGAATGTCTATTTGCAAGGTCCATTGCAATAATGCTTTTGTCGCTTTGCAACGCATGAGAATATTCGATTATAGGCTCGATTTTCTCGTGTGAATTCGCTCTCATTGCAGCTTGCTCGTAATGGACGATTATCTACCGGGTGGTTTTAAGTAGAACTGTAAATTTTCGGGATTATCATGCTGATAGTAAGATCCAAACTTTCTGAAACAAATTTCAACAAATTCTTATTCGCTTGTTTGTCCGCCGCATGTGCACGTGCTA